CCCCTACCTTTAAAAAGCAATAGTTTTAAAGGCAAGACACAATTGGAAAGACAACAGAACAACTTGGAAATAAAACAAGTACCACAGAGTATAATGTGCTGTCTGTACAAGATACTGAGCAGGGGAAAGGAAGGACACCTAAATTAGAACATTAGATGGCTTCCCACAGAAACCCTTGAGCCCAAGGCTCTGCAGCCTAGCAGTGGATTCTCAACAGGGTCCTCCTGGCATGTTCAGAGAGACGATTCTTTTCTATTTCAAGCCTGCGTACTGCAAACAGTAGAAAAGCAATGGACCTGTATTTGCATACTGCAAACCAGCAGGGCCGGTTCCCTCTCAATAAACATAGTGATGCCCTCTGGTTACTGTCACCAAACAAAGCAAAATAAAACAACTTCCAATGCCTCCTTGATGGGAGAGGGGAATGTACAGCAGCAACCGCTCCAGGCAAGGACAGTGGATGAGGAAGACCACAGGTAGAAGAAAGGAAGCTCTCAGCTCCACATCTTCAATTCCAGAAACATCCCACAGCCTCTGCATAGGCGTGGAATATTCTTGTCCTCTTCCTCACGCCCATCACCTAGTCTGTTTCTTTTCTTCCTTCATATCTCAGCTCAACTATGCCTCTGAGGGAGGACTTTCCTGACTACCTTATCTCCTACACAGGCCAATTCCATATCAGATCCTCCAAGAGCACTCTGTACCTCACCTTCAGGGCACGTAAGCAATTATCTTACACATTTTCAATACCAGTCTACCCGAATATAATCAAAGCTCTATGAGAAAGAGATGATGTTGGGTCTTCATTTTTCCCCTTTCCTCATTGTTTTCCCAGCATTTGACTCCGTCCTAGCACCTCCTAGGTGCCTAGCAAATACTTGATGAAGAAGAAGCTAAGAATGAATAAAACCGGACAGTATGTTTGAGAAAATATGAATGAGTCCTGTATAGCAGGAAGGAGAGGTATGTGTGGCAAAGCAGCTGGAAACCACATTAAAAAAAAAAAAAAAAAAACTACCTCTAGATGGAACTTAAATGAAATGAGAAAAGTGATGGATCCGTATTTCAGCAAAAATGTGCATTTCAGAAGGATGCTGCAATACCAGTGAGAACCAGACTCCTAAAGCATGGCACCCAGCTGGGAGATAGGACAGAAATACAGGCAGGGTGAGGAGGGCCTGCAAGAAGGCAGTAGGGTGGAAATGGAGAAGAAAAGGTGGCAGGACAAGTGGAATGGGTAGAACTCTGACTCCTGCCTGAACTGGAAGGGAGAGGAGGAAGAACAGCACAAGAGGAAGAGTCCAAAATGTTGCCCAGGGTTCTGTATTGAAAGACTACACGGAAGAAGGGGAGTGGGCAAGATTAGAGGATGAAGACAGAATGGCAGGTCTGCAGGAAAAATGATGAGCTTGGTTTTGGACTTGCTGAGTCTGAGGAGAGCACTCAGAAGAGACTGGGCTCAAGATACAGAGCAGGGGTCATGGGCACATAAATGAGCATCGAAGCTGTGGATAAGAACCGAGGAGTGAGCAGAGCTTAGAAGAAAATGGCATTTAAGGGACAAAAGGAGAAAAAAAGAGTCCATAATGGAAACTGTGAGGGAAACAGAGACAATAAAAAGTAGGACTGGTTCTGGTACACCAAGGGTAATAGTAGCAATGACGGATGTGCCAAGAACTCAGAAGATAAGAAAGAAAAGTGCTCAGGAGTTCTGGTAACTCTGGGGAGAGTAGCTTTCATGGAGTGGTTAGACAGAAGCAGGATTTCAGCAAATGATGATTTGAGGAAGCAGAGGTGGCAATTCTAGAACGCTCTTCCAAGAAATGCAGCTAGGAAAATGGCAGGTGTAAATGGGAGAGGACGTTGTTTCTTTCCAAGGTAAAATAAAAACTAAAATACATAAATGGGAAGATGGTAAACAGGAAAGAAAATTCACAAATGCAAGAACCAGGTCCCTGAGGCAAAGGAAATGGGGTGGTAGTACACATTTGAAACAAGCCCCAGAACAAGCACCCTTGCTTTCACTGACTTGAATTAAAGGCTGGAGAAAGGACAGAAGAGGACATCAAAGAGCCTTGACTAAGGGCTACAACTTAGGGAAGCAAAAAGCAAGGCTGGAGGTGGAGGAGAGAAATGAAAAAACAGACACACTAGGAAACTGGCAAGAGAGCTGTCTGAGCACACATGGGGAGCGTCAAGGGCTAGGCCGGCCAATGACAGCATCAAGAGCATGTGTCTACAATGTAGCCGACAGGGCCTACGGTTTTCCCAAGAAAGCAATTCCTGCCCTATCTGGAGGATTCCTTGAGGAAGAGGACTTACACACGCTGGAAGACAGACTGACAAACCAAAAGGAGTTCAAAGGATGATGCAGAAGAAGTATGAGAAAAGCCCAAAGGTGATCATTCTGGAGCTGGACTAGGAAACAGGTGCTACCCAGTCCGCCATGGACATAGAAACTTCTATTTATTCTCCTTTGATTATACAATCAGGCCCTCATGATGCTGGACAAAGGTGGGAAGATCAGAGTACAGATAAAAGGAGAAGCCATTACTTGACTTCACTTCTGTGGATGAAGGTGGATGACCTGGGCCGCTGCAATGTGCCCTGGATAGTCCCCTACTGGTCCTACCATATGCAGTGCACCCACCACATTACTGCCTGAGTAATTTAAAATTGATGAGAGAATTACACTCTTGTTTACATTTTCAGTAATCTGATCTCTACTCCCACATTTTAAAAAATGACATCTAAACTTCTTAGCCTGACAAAATTAACTGCTATTTTTTAAACATCCATCTTCTACTAGAACTAGGTGGATAGCATACCAGCTCATTCAATTTATAATTTTTATAATTCCCACTGCCCCACCCCCTGGCAGTGCTGCAGATCTAATCCAGGGCTTTGTGCATGCTAGGCAAGTGCTCTACCATTGAGCAACACCCCAAATCTCCTTCTTTCCTTTTTCATAGATGAGGAAACTAAAGCTTAGAAAGGAAGTGACCTATCCAAGGTTACAAAACTAGTTCAATGGCAAAGCTAGCACTGGGATACAGGCATCTGACACAAAAATCTGTGCTGTTCACATGCTATTGCCCATAAGGCCCTCGTGATGTGGCTCCCACTTATCTCTGTAGTCACCTCTCATCCTACAACTCTATGCTGCCTCCTCTGATGAACCACTCATAGGCCATGAAGTATACTTGCAGTCCTTGGTTCATGCCACCTCCCACCCCTCTTCATCTGGTACTGCCTGCTTATTCTTTAGAATGTGATAAAGCAGTAAGTCCTCATACAAACTTTCTGGTGTCTCAGCCTCACTTACAAACACGCCAAAACCTCCTCCACCAAACCTCTATGATAAACTCCATGCTATAGTTTTTAAAAAGTAAACTCCTTGACAAGAGGAATGCATATCTTACTTATTTTTGCATTCCGAGTTTGCAGTTCAGTGCCAGGCACACAGCAGATGCTCAATAAACATTTATGTTTATTCTCTAGAATGGAAGTTGATTGAGAACAACTTTACATGGCTGTGCTGGAATACAGCTCAGTACTCAGTTCCTTAAAGGGTTTCAAAATCATGTCACATGAAAGCACATAGGAATTGACCAAGAAAAACGGAAGGAAGAGTAGAGACATTCTGGGCAACAGGAACTACAGGAACAGAGAACTAGAGGCAAGCAATTTAATAAGACTAGAGCGCAGAGTTAAGGAATAAGGGACAATATGGCAATATGAGTTTTCACAAGACTGGCCTTTTCATCATTCAGACGTTAGCTCAAATGTCACCTCCTCAGAAACTCAAACCTGTCCAGCTGGATGTCTAGGAGGATGTTTTAAAAACATCCCTCAATAAAAAATACATAAATAAAAATAAAAAAGCTCCCTTGGTGTCCTCTAAGTTTCTTTCTACCCCATTACCCTGTTTTCTTTTTTGTAGCAGTTATCAGGATCTGAAATACCTACCACTCCTTAAAAATTATGTACTGCTGGACACAGTGGCACACGTTTGTAATCCCAGCAGCTTGTGAGGCTAAAACAGAAGGATTGAAAGTTCAAAGCCAGCCTCAGCAAAAACAAAGCGCTAAGCAACTCAGTGAGTTGTCTCTAAATAAAAACACAAAATAGGGCTGGGGATGTGGCTCAGTGGCAGAGCACTTGCTTGGCATGTGTGGAGCACTGGGTCTGATTCTCAGCACTACATAAAAATACATAAACAAAATAAAGGTATTGTGTCCATCTATAACTAAAAAATATTTTTAAAAATATATATTTATTGACAAGCACTGCTATCACCATCAAAAAGCAGGCTCCCTGAAATAGAACTATTTCTGTCTTCAGTGTATATAGTAATGTCTGGCACCTAACAAGCACTGGAATGTTTTAGTCAGTCAATCAACAAGTAAAACAAAATCCTCTGTCGTTGTGGAGTTTACTATGGGTAAATAAATTAAATATGCTAGCCTAGGAAAGGAGAGACCAGGAAGATAAACTCTTAGCTTTCAAAGACATATAGAGCTATTAAATGTGAGGGTGATTTCTAGAACCTAAAGGAGAAACCTGATAAGATTACTAGATAACTTCTTTTAGCTCAGCATTTAAGAGTCAGAACTTGGAAAGACCAAACGGAAGCAACCAGAAGTATTGAGGTTTTTGTCACTGAAGAAACAGACCAGTAAGCAAAGGTGTCATGGAAAAATATCCAAGTAGCCAATGGTAAAGGAAGCCTAAGACAGAGGCCCCAAGCTATAGTCACAGATACACGTGGGCACAGATGCACAGCTTTGAGAAACACTGAATTAGTTGCCAAAACTTTTTGAAACAATGGAGAAGCATATCAGTGGTGCTAAAAAAATAAGGAGATTACATATATGCACAAATGCACCCTAGCCTTAGTTTCATTTCTCCATTAAGTACGGTGCTTATAAAAATTCAATTCAGTAAAAATATGACTTTATTTCTGACAAAGAAATTTTCTTACGCTGCATTTACCTTACCTGATTTCTCTTAAGCATTAGCTTGTAACTTCGGAACCAAACCAAGGAATCGAGAACCTTAGTTTAGAAAAGCCTTTAGAGGGCCAGGGATGTGGCTCAGTGGTAGAGCACTTGCCTAGCACAAGCCAGACCCTGGGTTCCATCCCCTATATCTCAAGAAAAAGGGATGGAAGGAGGAAAAAAAAAAGAGAAAAAGTGTTTAGGAGACTTAGTTTAACTTCATTTAACAAATAATGTATTATTGCTCCCACCTCACAGAGGAGGGCAGAAAGGGAAGAAATGTCCAGAGTCACAGAGCAAATCTGAGCAAAGCCAGGACGAGAACCCAGATGTCCCAGCCCCTGTGTTCTAACACGGGATTCTGAGTACTCCCTGCCAGAGGACAGAAGGGGGACTGACTTGGGAAATAGGCAGAAGTTTTCTAGTCAGAAGACCCCGGACTGAACCAGTGTGCGGGGACGTGGATGGAGAGGAGGGGCGACAGGCGTTCTCAGTTAACTCCCCGGAGGTGGGAGGACCGCCCTGAGGTGGGCGCTGGAGGATTCTGAAACGCGAAGTGACCTTCGGCCTTGCCGCCGAGCTCGCCCCCTTCTCTTCAGGAGTCCAAAACCAACCCCGCAGGAACCCACTCCTCCCTCAGCAGCCGCTGCTTACTTACCGCCACTCAACTTCCGGCAACCATAGCGTCGCCCTCAGCGCGCGCCCGAATGACGTACGTGGCCCCGCCCCCAGCCACCGGGTGGGAGATTTACGCGCATGCGCATAGGGCCCTGGACCAGCTAAGTGAAATGCGCCCCTAGCACCTGCTTCGATGGGAGGAGCTTCAGTCGCAGGGAAGGCGGGCGTCAGGATGTGGGCGAGGTCCCTGGTTGAGAACTCTATCTGGGCTTTGGGAATGGGAATGTTTATATGCTGGTTAGCCTTTTACAAAAGAAAAAAATAAATAAAAGATCCGTGGCCTCTCTTGGTATCATAGGATGAGAGGAATTATCCCCTCTGGCATCTTCTAGGACAGGCGGCAATGGCCTGCCTCAAACAAGTAGTACCAGGACCATTTGAGAGGCAGGTGTGAAGACAAAGGAGATGAAAATTTTAATAGTAAAAGGCCACGGAAGGTTGACAATAACCAACCTACTTTTTTCGGAAATCAGTCATTACTTTCGGAGCACACCGCTGTCTTTTCATTCTAAATTTTTTCTTGAGTATACACTATCTGTGAAGCACCGGATAGACGTTGAAGATTGGACTGTGAATATTATTAATTTCTCAATCTGGCCTTCTATAGCCTCACAATAATAAGAATGACTACTAGTTATTATCTATCATGTTTTCTGGGTTTTACATCTCTAGTCCTCCAAGGTTGATGTTTTATTATTATCTACATTTTACATGTGAAAAAACAGAGGCCAGGAAATTTTAAGCATCTTGCCTAACAGTTAAAGGGCTTTTAGACCAGGGCAGTAATCCATTCGTTTTGACAGAGCTGGATGTGGTGGCCTGTAATCCTAGCTACTCCGAAGGCTGAGGCAGGAAGATCACTTGGGCCCAGGAGTTTGAGGTCAGCCTGGGCAACATAGCAAAACACACACACACACACACACACACACAGTCAGTAGGAATGCGACCTCTTATTGATAGAGAACAGATAGATGTGAACTGTGAAATTAAGGGAATAATTCTAAAACTGAGCCCACTGTGCTTTCTCTTAAAAAAAGAATTCACCTGCAGCCCTGACTAGCCTAAGTTGACAACATATGTTACATTCCTCAGCAAACTAACTGTTACCTGCAGGAGACATGCAGATCCAAAATTCCAATGAGAACACAAGTTATCCTGAAGGGAGAGGATTTGGTAATCATCCACACAGACAAGATCCCAGAACTCAGGCAAATAAGGAAAACTTCTCCTAACCCTAAAATTTGTAAGAACCGGGTCTAATTAGAACCAGTCATTATGGGTCAAAGTGACCTAGAGTTGTCTTGTGCAGTAGGGACTTGACAATCTCATGTCAGTCTGCTGTCAAAAGTAAAGAGGTGTTGGGGGGGGGGGGGATCAAGAGGTGAACCTAGGTGGGACTCTCTGGAAATTTCCATGGGACCCCCAATAAAACTGGAGGTTCGGAGAAGCATACTGTCCTTCTCCTAAGAGGATCTACTCTGTCCCTTGAGAGTGTCCGTTTTTCCTTTATCATATTCCTTCTAATAAACTCATGTCTGTTACTCTGAGCAACATGTCTGAAGTATTTCTGGCACGATGGCAAGAATCAGGGTGAAGAGGGGGTCTCCATGATTACCTCAGCTTTGTGCCAAGCCTCTGCCCCCAGTATAACACTATCAGAAAATATAGTTGATACCTTCCTTCTAGGCTTTGCTTAATTGAGCACACATAAGCCTGGGTTGAAGCTAGTTCTTTGTTAAGTTTGTTTCCCTGCTGGGCTTTGAGTTCTTAGGATACCCACATTATGGAGTTTCTGTCCAAGATACAGTGATTCCCACTTCTCTGGGAACTATCTCCAGCCATTTTGTAACCACATATGCCACACCAGTCTTAGCCACCCAACAAAACTTTTTGGAGTAGTGGACATCGGATGACTCTTTACCCTAAGTTTTTAATTTCTAAACTGACATTCCTAGACAGTGAAAACCATAACAGAGGTCAATGGTAGCATCCTAGAGGGAATTTCCTCACTCTGTGCTTCTCCTTTTCACCCATCATAATGTGATGCAGCCAAGGGAGATCTACACCAGAATTTATGCCATGTTGTCTGGATCTTGCACCTCCAAAGGTTTGAGTCACCATAAAAAGATTTCATTTATAAAGTAGCCTGTCTCAGATGTTACAGTAAAGAAAAACAGACTAATACATAAAATATATATTGTTTAAGTAGCCAATGTTTGGTAAAGTATAAATTTGACTAATTGGTCAAAGAATTGTCTTGAAGTTGATCATGCTGAAGTCCATGAAAAGAATCAGAAATGAGTTTCTGAATTTGCAAAATTGTCAGTAACAATCAACAAAAGTTGTTCTCTGTAACAACTTTCTCCTAGGAGGTATTTATTTTAATATTTAAGGCAGAAAGTCTGGTTTCATGTGCAATCCTTCAGCCATTGATTCTTTCCTAATAGGTTTGGACTGAGTTATCTCTGTGCCCTAGTCCAATGCCTTTCATGAGTTTAAAAACCGATTCAATGTTCAGACAGAAGTAGAAAGGACTTAGGTTTCCCTTTGATGTAACAAGGAAATCTTACTCAGGAGGATATTGTAAAAGGTACAGTAAAGCACAAAGTCTGGCACCTGGCATGTGCTCAATGTGTTTTTAAAATTTATATGAATGTCCTCTGTATACCAACACTATGCAAGCACCAGAGACACTGCAAACAATAATGCATGGAAATTGTTTCTCTTGATTCTTCCCATATGTATTTATTGACCCTTTTTTGTTCTTGTCAGACTGAAATCCAGGTCTCTTTGACCCAAAATCAAAGCTCCTCAGCATGTCTTTCGACTAGCTGTCTGGATTGTTCCTCACCATAAATAATGGGCACTTAGCCTCTTATCTATGTGGAGTGTTCCTTTTATGTGTTCTCTGCTCCAGAGGGCCTTGGGTGGCAATCTCATCTGTCTCTCTCATGAGTCTTCTGGCAAGTGATTTATAAGCTGGAAGTGGACCTGTTGCAACTTCTGAAACCAGGATCAAAGTCTCTGAAGCTCCCACGATCTGAGCAAGAAGAATATTCCAGGATGCAAAGTAGAATGAGAATGAAGCTTTTTATAAAATATAAGTCCTTTTTGAAAGACATTCACAAATGTTGACCAGAAACCCCCTAGCAAGTCTTATAACATTCCACAGTGCATTTCAATACATTTTCTCAGTTCGACAAACTTAGAAAGGTAGAAATAAATAAATCAGTCACATAACAGTATCCTTTCAAACATCATATTTAGGTAGGTAAAAACATTTCATTTTAATGGATCATGCAAACAGGAACACAGGACAGAGGCATCCCTATTTGTTACACATATTAAACTTTAACATTAAGTTTTAAAACATAAATCACAACCAGACTGCAACATAAACATCAAATATAACTCACTGTATGTTCTCACACCTTTGCTGATTTTTAGTTAATACATGTAAGTATAAAAGAACATGATAACTTTTGGACTCACAGAGATAAAAAATGCACAGTCCCTTCAAAGGGTCATCTGCAGCCACAGATGTGTTCCATGTCAGCTGTTCTTCTTTTCAACATATTATTTTGGAAATTGTCACCACTCTTGGGAATACTGTGTGTGTACTTAACAGGATGCATTTTTGCTTTTTTGGAAAAAATGTGTTACAATGAACTGGAACCCCCCAGGGTTTTTCATTCTAACTTTCTCATATAACTAGCTATGTGGTCTTGGGCACCTCATTTCACCTCATTTGCTCCTCTGAGAACTGGAACCTATAAGGCCACCCTTCTATTGTGGTATCATGGGACTTCCATGAGGTAATCCTGGTCCATCCCTAAAGAAGTATGGCTTTCTTGCTCCTACTCTTTTGTTTTGCTTTTAATACACTCTTGAGAACATTTCCTTTCTCTTTCTTTTGAGGGCAGCTTTTTGTCACCATGTTTGTAAGAGCCAAAAGGAATCTTGGGTTGAAAACAATGGACAGGCAAACTGCATAACTTCCTATCAACTCTAAGACATGCATGAGTGATAAAGAGTAAGGCAGAATCTTCGGCATGGATCAGACCTTGGTTCTAGAGAAAACTGTAGAAGGGGCTCAGAAGAGAAGTGTTCTGAGAAGTGGCAGCCACAGGGGAACCGTTGTCATGCCTCTCCAGGTGACCCCTGAAAGGGGGCAACAGCTATTTGCATGTCTTTGCACAGATATCTAGCTCTGTTGTAGCAAAAGTCCCAACTCTCCAGTGGATCTCTATCCAGTGTCCCTTCAGTTGCCAATTAATTCCAGTCTGAAAACTCAAATTACAGTAAGAGTCAGAGGCTCCCACTTTTCCCCCATGAGAGCAGGACAGCTCCACCCAGGTCTTGTTCTCTTACAAATACTCTGCTTTCTACTCCAATCTTTGCACTGACCACGACCACCTGCCGTTCTTCCCACAGTACCTGAGAACTTTTCCACACAATGCAGCCCCTAAGACTGTGCTTTCAACTCCTTTCCAGAAAGCTCAGGTGCGTGGCAATGCCAGGCTTTCCTCCTCCACCTCCTTCTTGGACATCAAGTATCATTTTGTCAAAACCTTTCAGTGCCTCCCTTAGGAGCGAATACGCAGAATTTTCTTGAATGTCTTCTTGAAGTTCTCATTGCACAAGGGATAGATGAGGGGGTTCAGAGTGGAGTTGATATAGCCCAGCCAGATGGTGAACATGTGCACGTGTTCATTGCAGCAGCTCTTGCAGAAGGCAATGACCATGAAGAAGATGAAGTAGGGAATCCAGCAAAGGATGAAGGCTGCCATGATGAAACCCAACTGTTTGGCAGCTTTCCGTTCCCGGTTCACGTGCAAACCAGAAATGTACTGTCTTGAATGGGAGCGAAGCCTCTTCCACGTGAACTTGATGTAGTCCAGGCCTGGGTTGGACCCACTTCTCAATTTGTCTCTGCCCAGTGCTGGTTCTGTGCTGGTATCTGAGTCTGTCATGCGGCCAATGGACTGGCTCTCAACTAACGTGTGATCCACTGATATTTCACTGACCCGACGGGTGTTTAGGCTTTGTCCCTCTGTCTTGAGCTGGCTCTGGCTCTCATCCACGGCTTCACAGCCCCTGCCATCTCCCTTTGCCGAAGTCTGTGTCTCCACAAGGTCAAGTGGAAAGCAGGGGAGTTTGGCTGCTTCTCCATCCTCCTCTTGGCTCAAGGAATCTGGAGACTTCTTCTCCTTGGTATCCTGGGATGATGGCTTAAAAATAGGTCCACCACTGGCATCTTTGGACTCCCTTTTCAGAGCCTCCCAGGGAGACTCCTTCTCTGATTTTTTGGGGCCCGCCTTGGAATTCTCTGGCTTCTGTTTAATTTCTGAGAAGGTAGGAAGGGATCCATTGATAAGCTCCCGGTGCTGACAGTGTCGTCGCACAGCCTTGTAGATCTTGAAATAGAACCAGAGCATGAGTAATGTGGGCAGATAGAAGTTGATGATGGCAGTCATGATCTTGAACCAGGTGACGTCGTAAAAGTCTGTCTCACACTTTTCGTCCCGGTGCCTCGAGGTATTGGACATGAAGTGATGCCAACCTAGGATAGGAATGACCCATAGAAAGGAAAGAAACCAGGCTCCCAAGATGGTGGCCGATGCTCGGGTCTTGGTGCGATACTTCAGGTACCTGAGGGGCTGCTGAACAGAGCGGTACCGATCAATGCATAAGATGAAGACACTGAAAATGGATGCCGTGCTAGCCACATAGTCCATGGAAAGCCAAAAGAGGCAGAGAGGGCGACCCAGGGACCACTTAGTCATGACGAGGTACAGGATGTTCATGGGCATAACCACGGCGCCCACAATCAGGTCTGCCACAGAGAGGCTCACGATGTACAGGTTTCCCACAGTGTGCAGCTTCCGCTCACTCCGTACAGCATACAGCACCAGCAGGTTGAGTGCCACTGTGAACAGGGAGATGCTGCTGAGGACCACAACCAGGGGCATTAACTGGGGGCTGGCCATGGTGGTCTTGTTTCCCTCACACATCTTGTCTTCTAAGACATAGGAGGAATTGGGAAGGGTCATCGGCACAAGGGCAGTCTCCAGCTATGGCTCACCCCCTGGGAGAAAAGATAAGGATCAAGGTCAGAGATTTGGTGATTGGTAGTCAATTGTGTTCATCAACTAGATTGTATGCCGTCAGGGGTAGTGACACTGCTGGTGACCTACCTCACTTCTTCCTCATTTATTCAATGATTTTTTATTGAATTCCTGGCATTGCTCTAGGTGTTGGGGACATGGCAGTGAATGAAATAAGACAAAAAAATATTCACTCTCATTAAGTCATGTTCTAGTGAGGGAGTTTGGCCTAAACAAAATAGGTAAGTAATCTATGAAAGTCTCATTTTGCACATATTCTGGGAAAGTGGAATCCATCCTAATTGGTCTAAGCTGAATATAGAAATCTAGTTTTTCTTTGGAAGTGGTTGATCTAGGAGTGGCCATAAGACACAAATGTGGCCAAGGAAATAGAGGTGGGGTTCAGAGAGAGTTCTTCATCTCTGCAAAGGAGCAAAACAAGAAAAAGCATTCTCTCCCATATGTCCCATTCTTCCTGAAAGGAAGTGAGGTAGTGATGTTTGTAGCTATGGCAGTCATTGTGGGATCATCAGGGAAATACGAAGAAAACCTCTTATTCCTGAACTGTTAAATCAACCCTGGAATCTCCTCCCTCCAGACTTGTTAGCATTGGAAAAAACGAAATGTCTATTTTTACTGAAATCACTGTCAAGGGGGATTTTTATTAGCAGCTGAAAGCATCCCTTACATGGGGGGCAGGCAGGTCAAGGGGATGTAACAAAGGTATAGAAATCATGAAACACATCTAGCATATCCCTAAGAACAAAGGTTCTCAGGCTAAAGATGTACATCAGTGGTACAGCAGGTGCTTACTGTGTGCAAAGCCCTGGATTTCCATCCCCAGCAATGCAAAAATCAACTTAAAATAGGAGAAATGGGAAGAGGATTATGGTATTTGAAAAGCATATCTGCTAATTTACTTTTTCATTTGATAAATAAAAAATATTTTTGTTATTACACTATGTCAAGTAATAACTATGTAACAAAACCTTTGCAAGTGAAGGCAACACAGAAAGCAGGCTGTATCCTCTGTTATTGTTGATCCTTTGCTGTTTATCGGCTTTCAATAACTATAACAAATACTGGAGATAATCAATTTATGAAGAAAGAAAGGTTTATTTTGCTCATGGTTTTGTAAGTTACAATCCAGGATGAGGCAGGCCCATTATTTTTAAGCTTCTGGTAGGAATGCTGGATGGAAACAGTGGGGAGCAAATGGCAGAATAAAGTGCCCACCTCATGGCCAGGAAGTGAAAGAGATAGAAAGGCCTGAGGTTCCATAATCCTCTTAAATGACAGGCCCTATGACCTGAAGACCTCCCAGTAGTAGCCCCCGCCTCTTACAGGTTCCATCACCTCCCAATAGTGCCACCCTGGTGACCACACTTCAACAAACAGACCCTTGGGGGATACTCAGGACCCAAATAAAAAAAGTGGGAAGGGAAGGGAGGTCTTAAGTCTTATAGAAAGAGATGTTGTTAGATTTGAAGATTCAGTAAGTAGTATGATTTTAAGAACACTGAGGCACACTAACAAAGAGGGCAGATTTCTCTGAATAATTTAGCAAAAATCAAATTATTTTTATAATAAGAAAAATTTGTAAGTTCTCAAGCAGAAGGCTAAATCCATAGCACTTGTTTTTTTTGTTTTTTGTTTTTGTTTTTTGGTGTATGTATGTCACTACGGATTGAACCTAAGGGCCTCTACCACTGAGCTACATCCCCAGCCTTTTAATTTTACTTTGAAGTAAGGCCTTGCTAAGTTGCTGAGGCTGGCCCTAAAACTTGCAATCATACTGACTCAGCTCCCAAGTTGCCAGGATCACAGATGTACACCCTATCATGCCCAGCAAAATCCACATCATATTCCAAACAAAAATCAGGACTCCAAGGCATCTGATCCTTGTGCAAGGACCTTTTCAAGATACTTCACTGGAAAAGCTTTGGGAGATCTCTAAGAGCTTTTCTCCTCTTTAGAGCCTCTCTTGAGGTGGGTTTCCATGTTCCCCTCCAGCTCTGCACAGTCACCTGCAATCAGAACACTCCCTGCTTCTCTGACTTCAATACCATTTCTTTGTGCGACACCAAGTCCTGCCCTGTCGCTGTCATTCTACTGCCTCAGAGATCTTCTCCACTTACTTCCTTATGTTTTGGTCATCACCTCTATGAAGACAAGCCACAAACCTACAACAGCAGCAAATATCTTTCTTCATCCCTACATCTAATGCCAAATTCATTGCAGCTGCTTCATCTTCAGCCCTGACCAAGTCAAAATCCACTGCAGTTGTCACAACCTCCTTCAAAAGGCAGAAAGGAGGCTAACGAAGGAAGGAAGGAATTTATTTTTTATTGTTTCGGTGAGAAGAAAGCAGAAAGTAGTTCCCTAAAATAATCCTGTACTGGAGGCATTCTCAAGGCAGCTCTGTTCTCCCTTCTTTTCAAAGATTTTCAATTGTCTTTGCCCTAGTGCTGGACACACAAAGGGGCACTACTCATTTAAAATTCTGTGAAAACTATCATGTAATAATTAATTTGACAGACAATGGTTTGTCTTTGTTTAAAAAATCTATATTTTTCATTTTTGATTTAAAAAAAAAGATTTCTATGTACAGTGGTGAGCAGTAGTCCCAGCTACTCTGAAGGATGAAGTAGGAGAAGCCCAAGTTCAAAACCAGCTTGGACAACTTTGCAGGACCATGTCTCAAAGCAAAAAATAAATAGAAAGGGCTGCTGGGCTTGTAGTTCAGTGGTAAAGCAACACTGGGTTCAGCCCCCAGTACCAAAAAACAAAAAAAAAACAAAAAAAAAAATGGAAAATGTGAAGCTGGGTATGTTGTAGCTCGGTGGAAGTGAGAGGCCCTGGGTTCCATTCCCAGCACTGCAAAAAGAAAAAGAATGAATTACTGAATGAGAGACAAGAATACTCTTAAGGATCTCTGCTAGGAGCTTACTCATTCAACAAATCTTTTCTGGTGAAAGATTTCTTTTAGCTCCATGATCTGCTTTGGGAGGAAGAGAATCCACTTTTGTCTTCAAAAGTTTCAGGACTTAAGTCCTTGGAAGGCCACTGCAGTACCAATGGTACTCCCTGTGCTTGACTAAGGAATGCAGAGCCAGTTCTGAGGAAGAGGAAAAGCCTTTGGGAGTAATGTGACCCAGGCACTGAGCCTAGAAAAACCCAAGCACACAAGAGAGAGCAGCAAAGAGATGTGTCACTCAGCCTGAAAAATGCTGGGGGGAGTTCCAGGGAAGTAGGTGAAGCCTTAGAGAGCGATCTGAGGAATGGTAGGACAGTTCCAAGGAAGGAGAAGCCTTGAGGACCAATGGGACCCAGGCACTAAGACTACAAATACATAGGGAGGGCAGCACCAGGGGCCTGTGGAAAGGGATTTTTCTTTTATGGTCAGTAGAAATCATCATCTACTTAATGTCCCACACAAGACCAGCTACCTAATTGGGGAGCCCAGTCAAAAATGGAAAAAAAAAATCAACTTTTTATTTTTTGCAGTGCTGAGGACAAAACCCAGGGCCTTGAAGTGTGCCAGGCAAGTGTTCTACCACTGAGCAATAACCCCAACCCCCAAATAAAAAAATGTTTAAGTGGTTAAGAATTTGAAGATGGTGACAGCACAGCATTCCACCAGACTGAAGGCCCTGTGTACGCTGGGCCCAGGAAGCCAGCCCTGCACTGTGCCTCTCATGCCAGTCTGAACAGGCTCCAGTCAGTGAGGTGATTAAGTAAGGCACTTATCCATCCCTTGGGCATCTCCACATTGAAAAGCAAACACATGAATGGTTTTCCCTGTACACATTATAAAAAGAAAGCCAGGGGCTCTAGCAAAGAGGGTAGGAGATATATGGGCACACAGATCCTTATTTGGTCTTACATGGCACAGGAGATACCAGCTGGATCTAGGACATCCCCTATGAGGTAAAAACCAGAATGCAGAAGATGCAGGCAAGAGGGGGTGCTCTGGGCCAAGAGAATGGATGCTGGCAGAGGCACTTGGGACAAGGATATTTTGGGATGGCAAGAAGACACCTTGAGGCTGTATGTAGCACTGGGTCATTGGGAAGATCTGCTGAGATGGCACGGTGGGAAAGTTCTGCAAAGTAAAGACTATTAAGTAAAAAACAAAGATGCACCCTTCTCTAAGAGACTTGAGTGTACAAGCAAATCATTTGTTTTTAATTAAGGCAATGGCTACAGACCAAACCCATTAGCTGGAGTGGGGCCTTTTACTAGAGTGACTTCAAACAGTCTAATCCAATCACATCCACATGCCAGCAAATAAACAGGCAGTCAACATTCCTTTTACACCCAGGAAGCTGATGTAAGCTCAGAAAGTAAGACAGTAAGAAGCCAAAACCCGAGTGCTCCTCATACACCAATTATTAAACGCTCACACAGTCACTGTCTGTTGCCATAGACGTTGTCCTTTCTGCAGCATCCCTAGCGGCTGCCCCCTCCAGACATGATGACTAAACATGTGACACTGCCAGATATTTTCTGGGGGACAGGCCATTGATCTAACTGAAGAATTTGTGCCTAGAACTACTCCACCCATTGCCAGCCCAGGAATATGGTTTTCAGCTCAAAGCAATGGAGGACTTTCTAAAAACCAATGTAAACAACAATGCAAGGTTAGCTTGAGAAACTGCGAGCTCCCCATCATGAGGAGCATGCAAGAAGAGGTAGCTTTGATCTGATTCCAGATTAGAAATTTTTCATCTTTCTCAAAGGCAATTATTTACTTAAGTAAAAACTGCAGATGTTGGTTTTAGATATAGTACCCAAAGCACCTCATACAGTGTCTCACGTACAGAGGGGCTCAATTATTCCAACTGTTGTGTTTTCTTCCATTTCTGGCCCATTCAGGCTAAAATGAATCATCCTTGATCTCTCCCTGTTTTCCACTATGGCAAAAGCTATTTATAGACTCATTTGGTATTTAGGAATAGAATACCGC